GATCGGGGGAAGGGGAAGGAAGTGGTGGACTCGGGAGGACTTGTGCGTTTGACTGACGTGCGGGTCCCGCTTGTACTCTTGGATGGGCCGGGCTCTACTGGGCTGCCATACCCATTCCGTTTTCCCTCCCTCACCCTCCAAACGGCCCCTCCGGCGACGCTCGGAGGCGGGCGGCCCGTGCTCGAAGAAGAGGAAGTCGGCGGCAGAAGGGCGCGGCCCGGAAGCTACGGCGGATCCGCCGCTGGAAGCAGCGGAAGGGGGCGGGGCCGGCGACCGCATCAGCGGCCTCCCCGACGGCGTCCTCGGGGACATCGTCTCGCTCCTCCCCACAAGGGAAGGCGCGCGCACGCAGATCCTCTCCTCCCGGTGGCGCCACCTCTGGCGCTCCGCTCCGCTCAACCTCGACCATCACGAGCTCTGCGACAAGAAATACCAGCTCGATTCCGTCGTGTCGCGCATCCTCGCCACCCACCCCGGCCCCGGCCGCCGCTTCTGCGCCACCGTCTACCACCTCCACCGCGACCGAGCCGACGCCTGGCTTCGATCCCCTGCCCTCGACAACCTCCACGAGCTTGAGCTCTGCAGCTTCAAGTACAAGTACATCTTACCATATCCACGGGGAATACCGCAGCCGGCTCCGCCGCCTGCAGCGGCCTTCCGCTTCTCCGACACCCTCGGCGTCGCCACCATAGGAGAGTGCCACATCCCTGACAGCATGGCCCAAGCGCTTTTCTTCCCTAAGCTTAAGAAGCTCGGGCTTGAAAAGATCACCATATCTGAATCCACACTGCACGCCATGATTGATGGCTGCCCCGCTCTGGAATGCTTGCTGATTTACCGCTGCTCTGGCTTCCGTTGTGTCCGAATCAACTCCATCAGCCTTAGAGGCATAGGTGTGGAAGCTTATTGGGGAGAGCTCATCATATTAGAGGAAGTCATCATCGAGAATGCCCCTTGTCTTGAAAGGTTGCTCCTATTTGGCTCAGCTGAATCCCGGCATATATCGGTAATCTCCGCGCCTAAATTGGAGACCCTAGGCTGCCTATCTTCCTATTCTAGTAACACATTCACGCTTTACTCGACAGTTATTCAGGTACCATTTGCCTTCTCGATCAATTTTCTGCACTATGTAATTTCTGCACTTATAGATGGTCTATAATGTCATCTTCCATCCTTCATGAAGGGATTGCGTGTTGATAGCCTGACGAAGACGGTGTGCACTGTCAAGGTTTTATCTGTTTGTATGGGTGCTCTTAGTCTGGATGTTGTTATTGACTTGATGAGATGCTTTCCTTGTTTGGAAAGGTTGTACATTGAGGTAACAATTCTTCCTTAATGGTTCATAGTGTTCATTTCTCATGTGATCTGCTTATTGTTCTGAACTGGGCGTTTTTCATTTGGTTATGTTTTGTTAGTCAATTAAGCCAGGGAAAAAGAATTTGTGGCGCCGTAAACACCAGAATCTAATAAGATCTCTTGACATCCGTCTGAAGACAATTGACTGGCGATATTATGTGGGCACCAAGTCAGATGTTGACTTTGCCACATTCTTTTTACTAAACGCGAGAGTGCTAGAGTTAATGACTCTTCAGGTTTATCATAGTAATTTCAAAGAGGAGTTTTTTACACGGCAACGTGAGAAGCTTCAACTGGATAAGAAGGCCTCAGGAGGTGCTCGGCTTCATTTTACAACGGATCATTTTCATGGCAGTTTTACGGATTTCTGTGTCCGTGATTTGGATCTAGCTGATCCCTTTGAAAGGAATTATCCGTACCAATTTCATGCTTTCTCCTAAAAAAAGTTTATTTCTCATGTTTGTAGTTTGTTTAAGTTTGTATTATCCTGGAATCTAGTGACAATTAAATATACTATTTAACTTGTTAGTTCTGTTGAAATCAACTTGTGCCAATGTGCACTTATTTTATGAGAAAATCAACTTGTGACAATTTCATGCTTCTGAACGTGAAGTGTGATGTTATCTGTTAAGCCGATTTTAGGAAGCCACGCGAATTGATGGGTCTGAGTATCGGTATTGCTCCATCTGGTGTGCCAAGCACTTCCTCAGATTTCCCGTGGGGCTAAAAGTCCTATCGGTAATTTGTTTTTTCCCGTGCCCAATGGCATGATTTGTGTGGGCTGTAGTTAGCTGCGCATTCAGAATATTGTGTGTTGTCTCCAGTTTACATCAGCTGTTTACCTGTTTGGTGTCCGGCGGATCTACCGCTTGTTAGTCAGAACGAAGAGAAGAAAGGGGTTTCACTGTGAAGGCAGGGAACTATTTCTGTTTCCAACATGAATGGTCCTGATGTTGAACTGCTTTTGACTCTTGGCTTGATGCTTTGCCAGGAAGACCGAGTTGAGTCGCCGTTTTCTTTGTCCCCTTTGTATCCATTGCTAGAGTTCCTTGTACCGCATAATCTGTCTGGCAATTTGTTGGATTCTGGTGTAACTGCTGAAGATGGAACCTGTTATTGTATCAATTGTGCATATGTATTATTGCACTTGTCAGTGGATCAGTAGTACAGAGTATCTATCTACACACAATATTTCTAGTTTTTGTTTGCTGTGGTCATTGCACGACCGCCCCGAATTACCGTAAGCAATACTGGTAGACCCCAAACATGTGGTAAATCAATCATGTTAATCTACCAGCAACCTAGGAAGGCCAATGCAGTGGTGCCATTGACAAAATCAGGTTAACTAATCTCTCTCCAGGATCTCCCTACCATCACATAAACACACGCAAGCAAGTTCACTGTTCCAAGTAAGAAGAGGATCACCAGCCAGATAAACTGGCAAGCTGTCCAAAAAATTGTTTTCTTCAGAGGCAATTGCACTGGGGTACACATACTTGCACTTTGTTCGTCCCCGCGCATCGCATGGATGCCCAGCTAAATCAATTTCTCCAACCATATATAGATGACAAAACTCCACTATGTCAAAAAGGATAATGAAATAACCACAAATAGCAAATATAAGTGGCCAGAACACACACAGACACCATAAGGGCAATTTCTTTGTCAGAAGTTCACACTCCTATAGGACTTGTTACAATTTACAAGTACAGAATAACACATGAACAGAGAGCCTATCAGGACAAGCGGCGCTATGCTAGCTTCAGGACAGGTTTTTGTTTATGCTCGGAAAGTTGCTGTTGCTACTCTTGCCTGAGTTCGTCGCTGTAGGAACCCTTCAGCCAGACTTCGTCGAGACCATCTAGATACTCTAGTCCAGAAATTCACAAAGGCGCCCCACCAGAGCAGTGAATCTTCAGCACCTCAACTCTCATACAAACATTACTTGCAGAAGTTACCTGTAACTTGGAGGCACGATCGATCTCTAGGACCTGTAATCTCCAAAAGTTAGCATCTCCCAGGGTGCTAAAATGGGGTTCACCATCTTGAATCGGCTTCACACAAAGGCGATGTAAGCACCTTCTATTTGGCCATTCGCGAAGGGAGTGCATGTCCTCTTGCAATAGTATATTGTCAACTCAAGATCAAACTTCTATTTGGCCTGCTGATGAAAGAGTTTGATTCTCTGTCAGGAAGTGAAGATCGAGTATAATCTGCTTATAAAGTCGCCGCTTTCTTGCTCTCTTCCATCTGTTGTGAGAGTATAATTTGCTTGGCAATTTGCTTTCTGCTGATATAAATGCTGGAGATGGAACATTATACTTGTTGGTGAACCGATGATACAAACTACTACAGAGCATATATTCACCGATCAATGATTCCAAGCAAGAAGAGTGCCTGTTTGGAAAATGAAATGAACCTGTGGTAATGTTGGAGCAGTAGTTTTACCTTGCATTTCCTACATAAACCTTTATGCTGCAAAGAATGCAACTCTCATTCTAGAAAAAAGGCCTCTGGTCTTGAGATCCGAATCTTCTCCTCCACTTCACATCTTGTCCTGATCCAGCCATCGTGTATGTGTTTCTGCAGTTACTGCTTCGGCGAGGTGGCATCATCATCCACAGGAGCTTCAGAGCCCATAGCAGGCTCTGTCGTCAGCATCCCGTGGCCTGGCTGGCGCTATCAATTCGAACCCCCGACGTCGATTCGCTGGAGTTGCTTGGGTGAGCTTTCAGATCCCGCCCGGAACTTTGTTTGACTTGCTTGTCCCATGGCTCTTCAACAGCAACAGAAATGTGAGCCAACCATAGTTCTCGAGCAAGCCTGATGGCATCATGAACATACTAAGTAAAACTCTATATTCATCATCGTTGTCTCCAAGACGGCGAGACTAAAGAAAAGGCAAATGCATATTGTGAAACATTTATTAGCCAGTAGTTTCAAGTGCAAACCTTGGGCTTGGGTGCCATACTGGGTTTCGAGATTGGCTGATCAGGGTTTGGTGGCTCATCATTAATATCCTATATCACAAAACAATAGCGTTACAGAGTCCTCTTGTTGCAGCAATAATACTAAGAGACAAATAGAAATTTAGAATACCTGGATATCATCTGGCCGCTCTCCCCTCTGTATCATTTCCATGACCTGTCAAGTGTTAAGTCCAATATGACAGTTTAGAGACAACTTCTGGTTCAATATCAAAATATTCAGACTGAACTAAATTGCTAATATCCTAGCATGAGTTCGTGACAGAAAAAAAAAGGATGCTCAAGATAGAGAACCTCCATATATGTTGTGAATTTATTATGACAGTTTGATCCATACCCTTTCATAATAAAGGGCATGATGGTCATTTTTTAAATGAGCTTCGGCTACTTATCCACGTGTTACGTAGAAATACCATTAACAGTCACAGTAGTAACAAAGCGGGACAGCTTACCTCTTGTGTCTAAATTCCATTTTTCTTCCTCTTCTACACAACGATGTGGCATGGTTGGGTCGGCCCAAAAGGCACCTGACGGTGTGTCGGGCCATGGCTGCCGCATTTTTTTATCTGTTTTTTTCTTTCTTGAGTTTAGTTATTTTTTCGTTCACAATTTCCAGCAACTGTTGTGAATTTATTAGCAATTTTTATAAAATTGTTAATATTTTAATTTTTTCATAAATAATTTGAAATTCCAAAATTGTTGATAAATTTAAAATAAATTTTTATAACATCAAAATATGATCATGTTAATTCGTAATTATGGAAATTTCATATTTGAAATAACAGAAGCATCAAATTTAAGAAAACTACGTGTTTACGGATGCAGCCGTCTGGGCTACTCCGGCACCCTACTCTTAATTGGTGTTTTTTTTTTGCACTATGGACAAATGACCCTAATTTTTTACAGTAGCCTAGCATGGACAATTTTTTTGAGCCTGGCATGGACAATAGGCATCCATGGCTGATTCGAACGACTTACGCGCACGTGTGGGCATTATATAGGCTGTTATTGACTGAAATAATTCAAAAATATCAAAAACTTGTCCTATGAGAGTACCAGTTGGCATGGTGGCTTGAAATGTCGATACAAGGTGACGGAAAAAAATAGTGCATTTGAAGACGTCGAAAAAGAAAGTGTTTTCAAATAGACCCGAACACTCTGTGTCTAACATGTTTTTTTGTACATGCGAGGAATGATCCCAACTTTTGCCACCAAGGGTGTGTGTGCATGGTAGGTACCCATGTCTAGTTTGAATGAATTCGGGCAACTTGCACGTTGCAAAACGTCCAGTCATTTATTGACCTTTTTTCACCGAATTTTTTTCAGAAAATACTAAATTTGTCGAAAACAAAAACAAACTGGCATGATGACATGAATTGGTGATGCAAATAAATTAAGGCCATTTGACGGATGTAAAATACCAGGTGTTCACAAACGGACCCTTCTGGCCTACCCGAATACCCTCTGTCTAACATGGATTTTTGTTGTACATATGAGAAATGATCGTAAATTTTGTCACCAAGGCTGCGTGCCCATAGTAGGCGTCCATGCCTGGTTTAAATGAATTTGGACACCGTTTGCATGTTGCGACACATCTGACCATTTACCGGCCTTTTTTTCACCGAGAAAACTCCAGAAAAATACAAAACTTGTCAAAATAAAAATGACTTTGCATGGTAGCATGAATTGATGATACAAGGTGATGGGAAAAAATTGGGGCCATTTGACGGATGTAAAAGACTAGGTGTTCACAAACGGACCCTTGGCCTCCCGAACACCCTCTGTCTAACATGGGATTTTGTTGGAGTGACCCCAAATTTTTCCATCAAGCGTGTGTGCCCATGGTATTCGTTCATGCCTGGTTTGAATGAATTCGGACACGTTTGCATGTTGCGACACGTCCGGCCATTTATCAACCTTTTTTCACCGAGACAACTCCAAAAAATACAAAACTTGTGCAAAACGAAAACAACTTGGCATGACGGCATGAATTGGTGATACCGGGTGATGGAAAAAATTAGGACCATTTGATGGATGTCAAAAACTAGGTGTTCACAAACAGATCCTTTTGGCCTACCCGAACACCCTCTGTCTAACATGCTTTTTTTTGGACATGTGAGGAATGACCCCAACCTTTTTCGCCAAGGGTGCATGCCCATGGAAGGCATCTATGCCTGGTTCAATCGAATTTGGAATCCGTTTGCACGTTGCGACGCGTTCGGTCATTTATCGACCTTTTCTCAAGAAAACTCCAAAAAATTAGAAAACTTGTCAAAAACGGCACACACGAGTTTCTGTTGGTCTGGTAGGGAAAACCCTCTGGTTTTTTAGTACTGTTGAAAAAAAAATCAGGAAATAAGGTAAGGTCGCAAGAAATCAAAAAAGTTCACTAAAAACGAAGAAAAGGTCATAGATTTGGAAAAAAGTTCATCGATACTGAAAACAAGTTCATA